CATTGCAACCAGATCTGATATATATATATATAGTGTACGATAACAGGAATAATTTCTAAATACCGTGTTTTAAACTTATTCTGCCTCGTAATTTCAATTTCGCGAAATTTCACGGATAATAAAATATAAACGAGCTCCATAATGAGTGAAATGAAAAAAAGAAAAAAGAAAAGAAGAAATTCAATTGAAAATACAAAAATTAAATAAGGAATAAAATAGGTTCGTAAAAAAACAAAATGATCCTCGGTAAAATAAATGATAAAATACCTACCTGAACAGTGGATAGTGAAAAATATAATACAAAGAATAATTTACAACAGATAAGTTGTTTAGGTTTGAGTAAAAAGTTGGAATCGTGAAATTTTTCTCTGTAGAAAGAATCGTGATATTGTAACCAAGTCGAGGAACAAGTTTGAAGGATCTATTTTCAAATTAGATTTTTAAAAAGTTTTTATTTTTCGTGTAATAATCAAATTATCCTGTCATAATGATTATCATCGTATCGTATGTTATTATAAAGTTATTAAATGTTCTGTTATTTATTGACACGAATCTCATTATTAATTACAGTTATTGATACAATCATAATTCTGCACCGTGTTGTTTGCGTTACACGTCCGATATCTCGGATTACAAACGATCGATTTCATGTGTATCATGCGTTATTTTCATAAAGGATGAGTGTTTCGATGGGGAAGAGGGCGGTTGGATTATGATAACGCGGTATAATATCTACAATGGGATGGGATTTAGCCTGTACATGTAGAATTTCTTTGTCAGAGAATCCGATTAATCTCGAATTCGGTTCTGTTTCTCGATGCCTATTCAACGAAACATTAACGTATTGTACAACGAAGAATTGATAGAATATTTTTTTGTTCAAACTCAGAAGCGACTTCAACCCATCGTCATTTCTATTAATTGTCCTCTGTCTTTTGCTTTTCTGCACCCACTTCCTTTCAAAATTCTTACGAATTGAAAAGTATGAGGTTGTCAATTTTGCCCATTTGAAGATGTCAAAGATTATGATGAACAAGTTTAGTATAACAATAATCTAATCATATATTTCCATCAAATTTACATATTAATTTTTACACAAAAATTTCAAAATTGGAAATTTAATTTACCACCAATTTCGAATCAGAAAATAAAAATTTAATGCAAAAAAAGAAAAAAAAATTTCGAAAAGTAAAATATTCAACAAACTTTCGAGCACGAAACATCAACACACGTGTTACACGTATCATATTTTGCGTTGTTGCCTTCGAAGCTCGCATCATCCGTTTTACCACCACTCCTCTCTTCCCCCTCCATTCACACAGCGAACATTCCTCGGCGGAATATCTCCATATCCGTGAAAGTCCCCAAGATCACAGCGATTTTACGTGGATAAATTTCTATCACCGTTGCTCCGCACACAACGCAGCCTTCGTTTTGTCTCGTATCGAAGTTATATAATCGGCCGTTTTAATCCGTGCGTTCGATCGGCGGGATGAAAGCAAATATTTTCATTGTTTCGGAAACAATATCGGCGATGAAAATCATGCGCGAATAACGAGATAGATTGGACGCGGTTTCGAAGGAAAAAAGAAGAAAAATAATATTCTAAAAATAATATCCTCCCCCTCCCCTCCCCCTTCTCTTCTTTTTTAATCTTTATATATGCGTTGAAGAAAATGATATTCTTTTGGTTGGAGGACGATATTTGGACGAGCTTCGAATAAATATTGTAAATATTGTGGGTATCGAGAAATTATTTTTTTTTCGCGAAATTATTAATTAGGCGATTTGTATTATATTTGGTGTATTGATATAATTTCGTTTTATCGATCATTTTTATTCGTCGAGTGAAATTTGATTTTAACTTTACACCGGGAGAGTAATTTGTAAAAAATTGTTCTCGTAAATTTGATTTTCCTATTCAAATTTTCAACCGTATAATTATATTTCGCGGATTTTACACGTGATCTGTAAATTCTGCGATTGCATTACGAGGCTGCAAAATTAATTCTTGCGTGTATTCGTAAAAATAGTGATTTTTATTAAATATTGTTAAAAATAATTCGTTCTGGAATTATCTGGAATACGACGCGTAATTTTGCAGAAGAATATTTTATTATTGAAATGATTCCTTGATTATTATTATTTTTAAAAATTATCCATCATCCATTTATTCATTCGCTTTATCAATGGCGCATGAATTTCGTTCGACGAACTTCAAAATTGCTCGAGCTTCAAAAAATCGAGGTGAATCGTCCAATTAGTCGACGAGAAGTGTAGCCGAGGAATATTCAGTGAATTTTTCCTACGGAATTTTCTTCCTTTATCTTCTCTCTCTCTCTCTTCTTTTCGTTATATGCGATATGTATTCATCTCGTGTTAGTTGTTATTCTTCAAAAAATAGATAAAAAATTATTATTATTATTGTTATATTTTTGTCTGAATAAAAATCAATTTTGCTAAAATTTTTAATAATATGCAAAACAATAACTTTAAAATTTTATTATTTGTTCGATTTGTTTGATGATATTAATATGACTAATTTCTATACTTTTTGCATGTTTCTATCGAGTTCGAAATGTCTAGAAATTTAGAAAGATCACGTGTTGCTTCTTGTATATTTTAATCCTTAAATACACTTTTTGTTTTTCTTTGATGATAAGTTTTAAATAAATTAAATAATCATTCGAAAAAACCTATTATAATTTAAATAAATAAAATTAACATTTTGTCATTTATGAAACTTTCAACGAAAGTAGCTACGATGTATCGTTCTAATATGTTATCCCTGATAAACGTGTTTTATATACGATTAAACGGTTAAACGATTTTTTAAAATAAATTTGTTAAACAAATATATGCAACACGCGATGAATAAAAACGAATTGAAAAGGAAAAAGAACAAAAGATATAATAACATTATAAAACAAAAACGGAGAGAGCAAAATTATTTATCGACGATACGAGATATTATTTGCAATAATTGAATCGTTTTCTCGGTGGACAGATTTCCATGGTGAGAGATATTAAAGCCACGGGCAGAGAGAAAAGCGTTTTCGCGCGGTAATTATGCGAATCCGTTTGTCTGATCCTGAGAACCGAACAGATGCTCACCCTCGGCGATTTAGTATTAAAATAATTCGCCTCGCTGCCGGCGATGCTTGCTCGCCAAACTTTCAGTAATTCATCTCTCAATATTGTTGCTGCGATATTTTCACGCTCGACCAATTCCTAAAAAAAAGAGCTGAAATATCGTTTCAAAACGAATGAAGGGAGAGGGAGAAGCGGGAGGAGAAACTGTTTTAACAGTTCGTCATATGAACGTCAGGATAGCAGAATGTGCGATTAACTTCGAAAAATCGAAAAGGAGCTTTCTAGCTTTGGATGTTGATTTTCGATCGGTACAAAAAAACAATTGTAAAACGCAGAGAAACTCAAAATAGTTGTGCACACTCAGTTGTATAACAGTAGTATTGAATGATTGTGCATTATATATATTTCTTGATGAAAAACTTCATGACGCGCTTCGATAGTTTCACGAGAACTAACCTAAAAACGCGTTACAGTTAGTTTTTAACAAAATCTCATATTTCCATGAGATCGCGCTAAAATTTTCCATCTCCGTATAATCCTCGCCTATTTAACTAATCTCTCGAGCCGTTGAGATATTACTAATTCCTTCAGAAGCCGAAACTTCCGTCTAACTTTTGAACGAATCGCGAACACCCGCCGCTTCTAATTCCAACAATTTGGCACGACAGCCACTCGCTAATTCCTGAAAACTGGATCGCTCGTGCTGCCAATAGCATCGTTCGTTAATTACATCGAGCGACCCGTTCGTTCTTTCTTTCTAGTGCACGTCCAATCTCGCGGAGCATCCGTTCTTTTGGGGAAAGATGGCGTCCTCCAGATGTCGCTTTATCGAAACATGGCGCGCATGCGTAATATCGTGTTTTCAGAAGAAAAAGTAGGATATCGAGAAAAGTTTTTATGGTAAAAGGATATTTATAAATTGATAGTTTTTTTTTTACCAGAATAATGGGATAATAAGGATTGCAACCTGTATCTGAGTTTTAAAATTATGTAAGTTTAAAGTTTTGAAATTTTTAAGATGCAGTTAGTTTGGAAAACTTCTACTTTTTATGGTTAGGAACTATATATATGTGGGTTATCTTGCAGATTTTATACTATAATAATATTCAATGCCTGTTTGGAATCAATTTTGTCATATTTTTATATTCTTTGTTAGAAATTTATTAAATTTATTTCGAATTATTAGGAATAGAATGATTAAAATTCAAGTTTTAATGTGTACAATATGTAATATATATTATAAATGTTTTTTATTACTGGTCATTTTATTAATATAGAAATTAAGAAAGATATTTTCAAATTAATAAATAATTATAGTGATTTATCTATATAAAGTTGTTGCGAAGAAATTAATTTATCAATTTTTATTATATTTCGTTATTAATTAATTAATAAAATTAATCCTCGATTGTGTGATATGACATTTATTATTTAATTTTCCGTAATATTAGTTAAAACTTATAATTTATTAAAACTTTCTAAAATAATATTTTACGACAAAGTTAGTCCGTCTAGTGGTGATATGAAAGTTTTATTTAGTGCAGTGTTTAAATTGCAGTCTGTGTGGGAAACATAATTCAGTACTGATGATAACTTTTTCTCCTAATTTCGTTAAAATAAAATATTAAATATCATATAATTTTCACGATAAACAGAGAAATCTCTAGAATTTCATACTAAGCAATATATAAATATATGAATTTTTATATTATTTATATTTTTGCTATGTTTTTATATATTTTTAGAAAAAATAAATTATTAAACTTTTATGTATATAGATTAATTTTCATATAACATTTATTCGCGATTTATATATTTTATAATATAATAAATTCATAAGTTGGTGGATAATAAACAAGCTGACAAGCAACCAACTAACTGTACATATTTGACTTCTTTCATCTTAGAGGCTGAAAGAGCAAAGGCAGACCTTCCCTGCACCCACTCTTAGCACAAAGAAAATTACTTTCATCATTCTCAAAAGCGAGGAGCAGACAAGCCGTGCAACGAAGTGGATAATTCTATCATGGTCCACCTTGAAGAGGTACTGGAAGCTATCCTCAAGACGTCGATGGCCGGTTCATCCGGTGAGTAACGATATTTTATGGCTTACCAAACGAATTTCAATATAGATATACTTGCTTTCCATATTTGTATGTTGCGTTTCACACGTTTGCTTGTGAAATATCTATACCACGATTATCAAAAGATTGGCGATTTTTATGTTTAATTGAAAAATCTAGAAAGATCCTCACTTGGAACATAGATTGATAACAGAGGTATTCAATTATTCACAAATTCTGATTCAATTTACAAACTTTTTCAATTTCGAATCAACAATTCTATATACTCTCAAAATTATTATTTTCCAAAATTTCAAAATAATTCCAAAATAAAAAGGTTAATAAAACTGCAAACTTTCTAATTATTCTATTCTTCAATTATTTTTGGCAAAATTATTTTAATTTATAAATAAACATAAAATATAATGTTCCAAAGTTCAATAAAACTGCAAATTTAAAATTCCGAAAAATAAAAAGATCGCAAAATTGCCAAATAAAATAATCTTTTCTCAATTTCTACGTTACGAATTATTTCCTTTCCAATCGCAAATGAAACGTCGAAAATTCATCTTTCTCTAGCGATTTGTGCACGAGATTCACGAGTTCTCACCATCGAAACGTGTCGATTTTTCCAAACACCAGTTTTCCCTCGCGGAATATTAAAGTCATGCAGTGTCCTGCAAGATACGCAGGCTGCACTCGAATAACTTGGCCAATTAAAATCTGGGTCGTTGAACGTTTTCCACTGTCCTGGCCAACCGCGACCCATAAACCATTCGTAACTATCTTTTCGTTCCAGTTTGAACATTATCTTATTCATTACGAAGAACGGTCTGTGGTTTAATGATAACATGTTGCATCGTATGATTGATTTTCGTTAAAGTTTTTAATTAACAATTACTTTTTAACTTGTGTTTTTTCATTTCATTATTTATTTATCTATTTATTGTATACACTCTTTTTTGGCTTTATATTTGTTTTTACAAATTCGTTTTGATATCGAAAATTTTTCAATATTGACCATTAGTATTTTTAAATATTTTTAAATTTTTAGGAAAATCTATAGAGAATAATTTTAGTGACTTTGCCTTATGTGGATTTTCAGATCCAAAAGGTTAAATAAATATGGATTCATGAAATTTCAAAGTAGTATTTTAAAAAATTTCAATAGTATATTTTTCGAAATATATATATATATTTTTAAATTGGAAAAAATAAATTGGATGAGATATTGAAGAAATTGAAATTATTCGCATTGTCATTTTTTTTTCATATACGTATAAATTCTTTTTGTACGTATAAATTCTTTTTTATAGAAAGTGTTTGGTAAGATTAAGGGATGTAGGAGGAAGATGGCGTGTTGTCGGTGAGAGGCTTTAGAATTCCAAACTCGAGAACTAAGTGACCCTTTATCCACGGATATCATGTAAATTTATTCTGCGAATTTAAATCGACTTTGTTTCCGACGAATATTTTATTCACCTCGAATATTGTCATATCTTTTTCCCACTTTATTTTTATTTTTATAGTTATTTGAGATAATTCTTCACCTGTGGAATCCCTCTTGAAATTACTCCTCGTCTTATTCTTTATCTTCATATGATATAAATCATCAGACCAATCAAAAGAAAGAAATCAAACGTCAAAATCAAAATCAATTTAATTTAATCACAATTAAATTATCAAACAGTTCGAGTAATTCCGTTCAAGATATTTTAAGAATTTACAAACTTTTTTTTTAAATAAGAAAGGAGGAAAATAAATTTTATAAAGTGTGAATATGAATGTTTTATTTTATAAAAATATATGCCAAGTAATACATACGTGAATCTTAATTTCTTTTGAATTGAAATCATTGGAGTAATTGAGTGTTCAAACCACTGTTTAATGAGATTTAATGCACTCGTAGACGCTTAACACCGTCTTTGTAACGAAGCTTCTTTTCTCGAGTGATTCTGTTCTGGGATCAGGAAAGCTCGTTTCTTATCGCGTTTCAACGATCGTGATAACTTTCTCGCTAAAACTTATCCCCCTAAAGTTTCGAGCAACGAGTTTCAAAGTTTCAAAACGTATGCTTGTAAAATTAATCATTGTGGATCTCGAAGATTGGTAATAAACTTACCGTTGAATTTATAATATTGCTCTGCAACAACGATAGTTCGCCATTCTCTTAGAAAAATTGTTGTTTTTTATAAAAATTTCTTTTTTTTGTATCTCGAACGAAAGAAAAGATTATTTGGAATCAACTATAACACTAAATTTTTATAGGATTAAAAACTTTCAAATGTTTTACGAAGAGTATCGAAAAATACTTTCCAAACTCTAATGTAAAATATTTTCAAAAATTCTCATAAATAACTTTCTCACTTTTTCAATTTCAAAGAAAAAAATTTCCAATTTCAACTTCTCAATAAAAAAAAAAATAGTTCAATATAAAATATTTTCCCCAAAAATCACATTACACAAGGTTACTCTCTAGTGTTTTCAACTTTATTTTTTTCGATTAAAGGTATAAAAATATTCCCCAGACACTAGTTCGAAACGAAAAAATTCCTAAAAGTTTGACATTCATAACGATGACAAACACCCGTAATCGCAAATGGTTTGAAACACATTCTAGATTCATGAAATAAAGATACGAAAGAGATATTCAAAGTGCACGAAGTGGAAACGTTCAAAGGGAGGTTTTTCATAAAATATTCAATAGGTTAAGTGGTAGCGGTAGCAAAGAGAAATAACAATTTCTAACCGTCTATCGGACGACGAGGGGGAAGGTTGGTGGAATTGTTAGTTGTTTCACCGGTAGATGTGTAGGAGATATGGCCCTCTTGCCTTCGAGAGACACATTTGGTTATTAAACGACCGGAACCGTCGTTTTCAAACGTCGACAACAACAGTGGCGTTGCATTGTTCGTAGCATGGCACACAGGCGCATCGTGATTTAAGTTCGGTCGTAATTCGGTTGCTTTTCCGGTGCTTCGTTCAAAACTTTCCGGGTCGTACCCGGTTGGAATTCTGTTCGTGAAATGAAAGAGCTTTTTACGTTTCTGCCTTTCCCCAGACATGAATTGAACCATTGTATTTCGATTTTGTAAGGATTTCAGTTTTCTTCCATTTCTTTGCTCCCTCTTCCGGAAGAATCGAGACGTAGAGAGTGGAAGAGAGGAATCTGAGATTTCTGAACTTTCTTTTGAATCCGTCCTGTTCGAGGAATGTATAATTTTAAATCTTCGTCGTATGGAAAATATATAGTTGTAGATTTAATTATGTTCGATAACTCATTTTATTTATCTTTTTTTTTTTTAGGTTATGTTCGTGTAAATATTATTAGGTTGTTATATAATTTATAGGTTATGTTTGATGATGAATTATAATGATATGAATTGAAATATTCTTCACTTTCTTTTTCAGATTATAATATATCAATTTTAAATCTAATTCGTTTGACAAAATTATAGGTTAGGTTTAATTATACTTGACAACTTATTTTATTTATCTTTTTTTCCGGTTTTTATTTCATTAGACTGAAATATTTTAGATATTTAGGAATGTATAACGAAATTTCTGAATCCGTGTTGATTGAAGACTTCATCACAGTATTGGTTTGATCCATTTCTATTTGTATTAAGAACTACCTGCAACCCGTAACTTTTGAAATTATCCATGAATATTCTATAGAAACTCAAACGACCGAACTTTAAATCAACTATATGAATAAAACTTGTACAAACACGAAATTATCATAAAACATCTAAATGAATGAAACCTTAAATGGAAACGAACCAATTATTATATTATAAACAGTTGAACACTAATCAACGGAATAACAATATTAGTTTAATCAATTTAACAAACATTCGAATAAACTAATCGAGAACAAACGTCCAAATTCTCCAAAATTGTTCCTTCCAGTCACGACACATTTCTGTAATACAATTATCGATTCTATAATACAAATCGTGGATCAGATTAGGAGTTAGTGAATGCTCGTTAACTGGAACGATCGAACATTTTACGAATAATTTCATTTTAATCGAACGAATCCTTTATTTAAAACTCACTGACCCACCTCTCGAAATTACCAGTTCGAAATCTCGGTCCAACACCTCGACTTCTCGAGTGTTTATCGATTCGAAGAACACGAGGGAAAGAGAGAGAGAGAGAGAGAAAGAGAGAGAGAAGTGCACCGGTGCGAGTATTGGGATTTAAATAGCGGTGATGCACCTTGGAATGCGGCAGAGATGACACCGCTGAGATCTGCCGAAGTCGAGGTTGTTCACCTGTCGCGATTATTTGAATTATTCTCATCGATCAGAAATTTGGCAGCTGGATCGTTGAGTTATGTTTCGATGAGGATGGAAGCAAGTTTGATCATTTCTTCGGTGAAAAAGCTCGAATTTTAACGTAGAAAGTTTACGCGTAGAGACGATTATTGCTCGACGGGTTGCTCGATGACAGGCAGCTAACTTTTACATTTTTTTGCCTTGTAATGCGATGATTAAATTTGAAGATTTGATTCGCATATGGTTGTGCTTACATGGATTATTTCTTCCAATGAAAAATTTAGATAAGTTTCGAAGATTTCTTCGATGAAAAAGCTCGGATTTTAATAGAAAGATTGTTGCTCGGCGGGTTGCTCGACGACAGGCAGCTAACTTTTGCATCTCTCTGTTTTTCACGATTCCATATATTAATTTGATTTAATTTGATGGATATGCATGTGATTTGAATTTTGACAAGTGTGAAAGTGTTTGGTCAGTCTTTTTCATCTTCACTCGTTATAATTTCACTCGTTGTAATTACCTCTCTCAGAATATAGATATTCAATTCACGATTATTCGTTCAAACTCTTAATAAGAAAATAATTCAATGAGGTAAAAAAAAAAAAAAAGAAAATGAAATGTTCGTTTAAATCTTATAATATGAAATAACTGTATCGGTTTTAAACTGTTCGTTAAAAAAGGAATCAGGTCGATTATATAGGGAAGAATCTTAGGACAGATAGATTGGAAAAGAAAATCCGT